GTCTCTACTAAAAATACAAAAAATTAGCCGGGCGTGGTGGCGGGTACCTGTAGTCCCAGCTATTCGGGAGGCTGAGGCAGGAGAATGGCTTGAACCTGGGAGGAAGAGATTGCAGTGAGCCAAGATCACGCCACTGTACTCCAGCCTGGGTGACAGGGCGTGACTCCGTCTCAAAAAAGAAAAGGGAGGGGGCAACAACTCTTAGCTTTATAGCTGCTGTCACATGTTTGTCATTTTCATAAACTACTGTCTGTATTCGTTTAGCAGCAAATCTTTAAAACCGAAAGCATGTGGGAAACATCCTATAGTGGGTTCAGAGAGCAGGTTCTGAGGTGAAACTACTTATATTTGAGTCCTGGTTCTTTCACTTTCTAAGTCAGAAAGTGTCTTCTGTGGGGCAAATTAAATGTCTTGTGTGCCCAATATTGTACTATTCAACACAGCAGCTTCTAGCCACATGCATCCACTGAACACTTGAAATGTGTCTCATCCAAATTGAGATGTGCTTTGTATACAAGATATATACCACATTTTGAAGATCTAATCTTCCCCCAAAAAGTAAAGCTTCCCATTAATAATTTTTATATTACTTACATATTGATACGATAATACTTTGGATATTTTGGGTTAAATAAAATATATTATTACAGTTTATTTCACCTATTTTGGTTTACATTTTTAAAGTGGCTACTAGAAATTCCAAATTACTTATGTGACTCATATTATATTTCTCTTAGTGCTGATCTATAATGCGGAAATAATGCTACCTGTTAAATATAGCTTTTGTGAAGATTAAATTAATATATGGAAAATGCTTTAAAATACCTTGCATATAATAGGCACTCAGGAAGTGTTAGCTTTAACACTTACTTGAAGGTGGTCAGTTCAGAGAAGCAGGGAGCGACTTGTCACAGGCAGGACTGCAACATGAGCCAGGGAATGACAGCAACATTTCACAGAAGAAAAGAAGCCAGGCTAACTTTAAGGCTTGCAGGAAAGACCTGACTGGACAGAGGCCTGGAGATTCGCATTGGGGGCTATACAATTCCCAAATAGGTGTCTTTTCAGAAGACAAATGTGTCTGTACGCTGACATTTGTAATGGAGAAGTAGTCAGAACTAGAGGACTGCAAATGAGGTTTAAAGTTATTTTTCTGGCTCCGATACTATCTTATTTTCAAATGTGGACTGTCACTCTACCCCTCTTCATTTTCTATCTTGTTTATCTACAAAGGAGTTACTGTTTGTCCTATGCTGCTGCTTTCTTGTTTCTTTGGAGCATGTTACAGTTGCTCGGGATTGTCCATTCTCCACTGGGTGGGCAGATACTTGGCTCAGCAGCCCAGTAAACAGTTGGGAAATGGCCAAACACTAACATTCAGGGCACCACAGTCGTCACTGTTAGATAAATGATTACATTTCGCAGAGCTGGCTGTGTTTTGTTAAACCTCACAGGGCTGAAGCGCCTGAGTCCACAGCATATTCAGCTTAGTACCCTAGACCAACTCACTTTCCCTGCGATGTCAGCATCTTTACAGAGTGGTTTCCCCAAGGCTGATGCTACCACCTACCATGTTCCACCCACCACCTTAGTTTCTGATTCCTTTCTTCCTTTATAGTAACATGAGAGTAAAGGGGTCGGTCCAGAGCTTTATGAAAATTGGGGTTATGGCATGTTTTCAAGCTCACAGGTCCTTAAGAGGTTTTGACTGCTGGTATTTTCAGTGGCCCATTTTTCAAATGGGTCTGGTCTCCCATCTAGAGAACCTGGCCTGACCTATATTGCTGCAGAGGCTTAGCTGTGTATGTGTCTAGGCTCAGAAAGTGGCAGGAATGAGAAATATGGTGTTGGAAGTAATGAAAGACAAAAGGAATTCAATATTATTTCTATATATTTATTTTATCACACTTCGTTTTCAATTTACAACAAATAGTGGGCTAGCTAAACTTTCATTTCACGTGTGTGTGTTTAGTGGAAAATAAGCACCTGTCATTTGTTTTGGGTTTATCACCACATCTGTTTATTAATAAATATTTGCGAATGTTCAACATGGCTCTTTTAATTCATGCAAATAAAGACATTGTTTTCTTGATTTCATATTTTGGAAATCCATTTCTTGAAGCAATGTTCTCTTAGTCATCCTAGCTATTGTGCAGATTACGGTTAAGTGAACTAGAGCTCTCACCCCCAAAAAGTTGAGATAAAACGATTAATATATGAGGATGTCCCTTAGACGACAGTGTACCACAATACAGTCTCAAAAAGACACAGCAAAATAAAAATCAAAGGGAGTTTCTGAAATTAATTTTTCTGATTCCTCTGTCCGAAGTCCAATATTTTTGCAGGACTGGAGGTAGAGATCTGAATGCCTTTGGAGCAACCTTACTACATGGTCAGCAGAAAGATGAGATATTATTTCTATGTGCCTTCTACCTTAAGGCTTAATAAAACTAACAATAACAGACACATAAATATTAATTCTTGAAGTTGGTGAATAAAAGTCTTTTAAAAGTCTTGTCGCTTCTCCCCGAGCCCCCAACTCCAAAAAAGAGAAAAAAAAAAAGAAAAAAAAAAACTTTTTTTTTTTTTTCTGATTAGGGAACATGCTTGGTTTTCCTGACATGCTTAAGGAAGTCTTATCAAGGGCTTCATAACATTGATCAAAAATTGTTGAAACAAAATTAGGTTCTCCTTGTGTGGTTTTGTTTTTGTTTTTGTTTTTAACAAACACTAGTTTCCTCTTAGAGAATAACTGTTCTCACTGTACCAAATGGGATTTGAGAGACGTACAAGAAAACTAAGAATGTTGTTGAAAGTGTCACATGATGATTCAAAATGACACTGTGGGTAGCATACTGCATATACCCAAATTTGATCAAACTGCAGTTTTTTGTAGCTTTTTACAAAAATCTTAAATACAGGTAAATATGTAAACGCTGTGCTCTCAGAGAGCAAGTACTTAGTCATGTCACATCGTGTCCCTTTCGGGGAGACAAATTCAAGTAAAATATCACACGTCAGTTTCAAAACCATCCGCTGGAAGTACTATCCGGCTGAGGGGCAAACACCACTTTGCACATCTCGGAGTTCTCTTGATGGAGCGGGAATTCACATCCTGCTAACACGCTTTCTTTTCTTTTCTGAGAGACATAACCTCTGCCTGTGGACAGCCTTTCGTACTTTTTCTCGAATTGCCTGTACAACAACAGCAACAATAACAGAATTACACACACAGTTAAGTCACCCTACACCTCTCCAGCCAAGTTACTGAATGTATACTTGAAGTTTCTGTTCCAAAGTAATTTGAGAAAGGATATGAGTGTCAAAGGCTACTCCATGAATGGGTGATTTTCTTCTCTCTCTCTCTCTCTTTTTTTTTTTTTTTTTGAGACAGAGTCTCACTCTGTCGCCCAGGCTGGAGTGCAGTGGCGCGATCTCGGCTCATTGCAAGCTCCGCCTCTCGGGTTCACGCCATTCTCCTGCCTCAGCCTCCCGAGTAGCTGGGAATACAGGCGCCCGCCACCATGCCCAGGTAATTTTTTCTTTTTTTTTGGTATTTTTAGTAGAGACCGGGTTTCACCGTGTTAGCCAGGATGGTCTGGATCTCCTGACCTCGTGATCCGCCTGTCTCGGCCTCTCAAAGTGCTGGGATTACAGGCGTGAGCCACCGCGCCCGGCCTCATTTCTTTTTATACCAACAGAAACACTTCAAATGCCTGGGATATGGGAGTCCTGCCATACAGTTTTCTAGAATGAAAGACTAAATTCCTTTCAGCTTTTTGGTGATGCTGTTACGCTTTGCATGCTGTGCTGTGTCTCACCCTTCATTCCAGAAGCCCCACCTTGGGAGCACTCTCCTTTTGAGTAACAGGCAAGCCCCGCTGGATTTAAGCAGAGAATGCGGACAGAGAAACATTCCAAGAGCTCTGGCCCAAGGGAAATGTAGAACCAAACCAATTAACCATGTGGGTGGGTTGGTGGTCACTGCATTTCAACCATTAGAAGGTTGGCTTTTTAAAATGCATTTGTGGAGGTTTATTCTAGATGTAAGTTAATGTAAGTTAGTGACAGCTTAATAGTTTAACTATAATGCACAATCTTTTATTCGGTGAAAATACAGCCTATTCATGTTTACATTTATATAATTGATGCATTTTTTAATATGAATCATGAAATGTCAGTAAAATAATGAAGGTGCTCAATTTTGGCCTACTTATCAAAGGAGATGATGTAAGATGTGGCTTGCTGTTTTAAGTCTACAAATGATCCTTATGGTTAGTGTAGGTCAACTACTATGAAAGGGTCAGTGCTACCTAGACCCAAAGCATTCTAGCTCTATGTGATAGTACTGGTACAAATAATGGTTACAAAATTCAAATGACACAGCATAAAGTTAAATGGAAATTATATCTTTGTATTTTAAAACACTAACAAATCTACCAAAAGCAATATTTAAGAAAATTCAGAATCCCAAACTCTGAAACTTGAGCCAAAACTTAAACAGGGTCAAATTGCTGTTATATGGAATACTTAATAACTGCAAATTCATTTTTGCCCTTAAAGACAGTAAATGGATTGCCAGGTGTTTTATTTGAAATCTTCTGTCCAGCAGTTTATTGTGAAGATACCAGAAAGTAAATGTGTATCTGATTTTTTTTATGAAACTATGTGGCAACTCCTATGGTAAATCATAGGCCTTTCTTTCCTTGATAAATTGTTTCTAGATTAGAATATGATACTATCTCCAGAATCAAATGAACTAGTCATTAGATTTTTTTGGTACCCCAGAAATTGACTTTTTTTGGCCTTATCAATTATTCTTCTACTTATTTAAAGAAAATTCATCTTTCACTGGGTTTCTACTGTTTCCTTTTAATTCTGAAACTGAATGTTCTAGACTGAATGCAAGTTCCTGGTGCACTGGTGATGGTCCTGGAACATTACCTGAATGCTACATCTTACCTGAATGGAGCTTCATCCTTGTCCATCTGCATGCAAACTAAGAATGGGTACTGAGAAAACTGCACTGTGGAGATGAACTCCAGGCCTGCTTCTGTTTCTGTACTGGTTTCCAGGCCAGCTTTCACAAAAGAGGAGTCCACTGTGATGTCAGTGGTTATTACCACAGTCACCCTAAATATTTGAGAAAAAAAGAAAAAACCTGTTCATATTATATTTAATGGAATTGGACTAACAGCTATAATTTTACAGGATCTGAACTTATGATGCCAGTGACTGGAAGAAGACACTTAAGGGATTCAGAAGTGACCTGGATGTGCTCAGAGTTCTGCTAGTAACCAGGGCCTGGTGAGTCTCAGATACTGGGCAGGGAAGATTTGCCCTTCCCCTGAGCTCTCCCCTGCCTTCAGTTGCAGGTGTGGGGAGTGCCTATAAGATATTACATTGTTTTGTATTGGCATAACAAAGACCAAAATGAAAACATTCTTGGAACCCAGTCCTCTTAGGAGGTCAGAAATACTCAAGTTATATTAAAAGGGAGTCTAAACTTACCAAGAAGACAATTGATATTTATAGTTTTTGTTAACTATCTCTCTGTTGGCTTCTAGGCAGCTTTTTAATCTCATTTAATTACCTTCACCAAAGAATCTCTAGAGGTGTAAGCCCTTGGTTGCCAAGATATTTGAAAAAAAATATTGTGTTACAAAAAATCAGTCTTACAGTGGGGCATGTACAGTGAGTAGGTCCCAGGAGGAATGAATATGGTGGGTCCTTTAAGAACTGGATAAACAGATTGCACTGGCTGGGAGTGTGCCTTGGATAACAATGAAAAGGATAAATAATTTCAACAGAAGTTTTACCTCTACTTTAATTGAATTGTGGACTTTAAATCAAACTGCGATAAATTATTTTCACAATTAAATCAGAGTTCTATGCCCATATTTTTTGACAGGGGTGTTAATTTTTGCTGTGCAAATTAAAACCCCTGCTGCTGTTATGATCAGTGTAAAAGTAGGTCACAGGTTGTTTTAATCCCTGAATCACTTAGAGTACCTTCTGATGTCCTATATTCAGCAAAGGCTTAAAATATATTTTTTAAAATGAACAAGTGGAAATGGAAGACAGATTGGTTACACTATGGCTAATGGTAGATTCTTAAGGATACTGTGTACTTTAGAAAAAAATCCAAATTACTTTTTGTTGTTGTTGCTGTTGTTGATTTCTCTTTGCAAAGAATTCAATTCCATTTCATTTGGAAAAACTTCTGTCTAGAAAGTACTTTGGAAAGAGGTGAAAGATGACTGATTATGTGGGAAGCCCTAAGTTATATTGCTGAACCCTTTGATGACCAGTGTCATTTTTCATTCTGTGGTTCCTTTTAGTAACACTGTGGGTCACACTTCACATTAAATGTGCTACTGTTTGATCGCTCTCAGTTCCTTCATCTGTAGTTCAAAATGAATCAAAAATTTGATTTTATCACGTATCTCACTTTTGCCCGAGTGTGTTTTTAAATATTAAAAAAGTAAAAATAAGTTGCATTTCTATTTCCTTTTTAAAAATTCTGTAACAAATAGAATACTAATAATTTTCATCTTCACACTAGTTCAAAGACATTGTTTCATGTTCAAAGTAAAACACTTTCATTAAATCTCACAGGTAGATTAGAAAAATTAAAGGAGCTTAGAGTATTTTATTTAGAAAAAGGAATGCTGATGAAAAGACTTAAGGACTCCTAACGTTTAATACTTAGTTTCTGCACAGATGAAATTATCTTCTTTATTTTTCCCCATTGAAGACAACAAAAGAGGAAAGTTTGCCTTAAAGTAAAATTTCTTCTTTTGGTGAAACACCAAAAGAAGATGAACCATCTGATTCACAGGGCATCCTGTCTATGTATGTCTTTAAAAGCAGGAAAATTCTTGGCTGAGTAGTGTTAGGTTCTGACCTGCGCATAAGAAGCTATGGACAGAATAACTTCCTGTGATCAGTTCCAACTCTATCATTTTATGATTACAAATAGAAAGCATAGATTTTGAAAAGTCAGAAGGTTAATTCCCAAAACATATTTCTGAAGTTCTCTGCATATAGTATTATATGTAATTCATAAATGTATAATGCATAAACACTGACCTATTTTTCACTCGGGTTTTAGACTCACGATACCACAAGCTAAACTCCATTGCACCTGAAATATCAATAGCTAGACCACCCTGGACCTCTATATTGGCTTTTAGTCCAGATTGTAACTGAAGTTCCTAGAAGAAAAAAAAAAACAATAATAGTTATAAAAATAATAATTACAATTTAGTTAACCCCCTTTCCAATGGCACATTTGACCTCCTGCTGTAGATAATTCCATTTGAATTGCGTTGATGTTGGAGTCTTTCTCTAGGCTTGGAAACATGCTGTCCTAATCCTGATCACCAGAAGTAGACTCTATTGATTTGCTGAATTAATTAGTAAATTAAAACACCAGAGTAATGAAGTGCCAATTAAGAAGGATGTTTTCCTTCAATCATTGCTACACTTTGAAAGGAACAATTGTTCTCAAAGTGTGTTTCTGTGAGGAACAGCATTAGCATTGCCTGGGAACTGGTTTGAAGTACAGATTATCAGCTCCCCTTCATACTTATTAAATTAGAAAATCTGAGGATGGGGTTTAGCAGTCTATGTTTTAACAAGTCCTTGTATGATTCTGATCCACCTAAATTTGGAAACTTTTGAACTAAGGAAAATGACGTCATCTCCATCAAAAATCTAGCTGTGGCTTTTTGTCCAGGGAAGTAAGGGGAGGAGGTTTGGATCAGGTGATCTCTCGAGGTCCCTCAGCACTTCTCTAGTTATGTGCTGTGTCAAATACAGTCAACTGCATCCTGCTAGAAAGTAACAGACAAGTTTTAAAACTCCCTGTGGAGTGTGTTTGTCCGTTAGTTTCCAAGAGGAACTTGTTACAGGGCTACCTTTGCCCAGACTGAGTATAATAAAATCCAAGGATGCTCAAGTCCCTTATATAAAAAGGCATAATATTTGCATGTAACCTACACCCATTCTCCCACACACTTTAAATCTTCTCTAGATTACTTATAATAACTAATACAATGTAAATGCTATGTTGCTGTTATGCTGTATTTTTAAAATCGTATTAATATTTACTGTCGTTTTGCTTATTTTATTGTTCGGGTTTTTTTTTTTTTTTCCAAATATTTTTGATCTGGGGTTGGTTGAATTTGATGAGGAACCAGCGGTTACAGAGAGGCCAACTGTATACAAGTTCCAGGAACTGCTTACATCCAACTAGAAAAAGAAGGCAAAGCAATTTAACTAAGCCTTAATATGCTGCTGTTTGACATTTGAAATGACATTGAGTTAATGGTCAAGTTCAACAAGAACTCAGTAGCATTTTTCAGAGGGACAGTAATTATTTACAAACATGGTCCATCCTGAGCAATTTTGTGGTTGTCTGAAACCCATTGTTTTGTGATGTTTGCCTGCATTTAGCCTTTAAGTCTTGCATTTTTTTTTTTTTAATGTATGTTAGTTGAGGTGATGTTGGCACAAAACTTTTTAGCTGGATTGGAATCAGATTGCCTGGGGACAGTGTTGAAAGTGATAATGATTTTGAGAAAAAGACTCAGTATTCTTAATTTTGATATTCCTCCAAAGATCTTAAATTCCTGGCAACCGGCAGGATGACTAACTTCTTTATGTAACTGCCCTACTCAGACCAAACAAGTCATGCATTTGCCAACTATAACTGCCATGATTTTACTTTCTAGAAAGGATTGTGTTGATCTCCTTGAGTTCTCTCCACTTTCCAAAAAAAGGTGACAGGAAATCCCAGGCAAAGGACTTGGTTTACAACCAGGTGTACTAAAAAAGTACGGTTGTGGCATGAAGCTATTTTCAGTCTGAAGGACACTCTTTGATGGAAGTATGAGATTCTCAGTGCCATGCTCAGGACACATTAGGAGACAGCCCTAAGGATACTTAAAGAGACATTTGGTATAGAACAAAATATGGCTGAATGGGATGAAGGGGTTGTCTCCGGCATTATAACTAATGTGATGGATGCAAACTATCCTGAGGAAACCACAATAGTCATGTCCACATTTTCACCTATGCCTGTGAACTACAGGACCAAAACATGAGAGTTCTGTATGTGTATGCAAACATGATTGTTCCCAAATGAAAGCTATGGTGTGCCTCGCCTCAGAAGTATTCCTTTCTTTGCATCTTTTTCTCTCTTCCTAATTTGAAAATTATAATCTCGGTCATCCACCCAGTCCAGCAGAGGCCTGTGATGTGGACCTTGGCCTTCCCACCAACCATATATTAAACGGAAGGTAAAATACACCAAGTGCCATCGAAAAGGCCATTTCATGGCTGTTAGACAATGCACCTTTTGTGGGGTGAGAGCATTTCCATTGCAAAGTGGGTTATGAGGAGTGCCTTGGATTTCTGGGAAAAGTCCACTTCTTTACACAAAGGGTCAATAGAAGAGTGTGTATGTGCAAAGAGGAATTTTCTTGAACCCTCTTATAAAGATAAACCACTGACTCCTGTAGAAAAACAAAGTACTTTTTCCTTTTTGAAAGGGACTAAGCCACATGGTGCTAATTTTTAAGCAGTATAAAGTAAGTGGAACTAACAGGTTTTGAGTACCTACTGTGTGCCCAAAGCTCTATAAAGCTTTGATGTCTCATTTAATCCTCATACCAATCTTCCATGGTAGGCATTATATCTTAAGATTGAAAGGAAAAATCAGTCTCAGCGGCTACACATCAAGCCAGAATAAACGATCCAGCTGTCTGTAGGGTGAAGACATTTCTTTCTTTCTTTGAGATGGGGTCTTGTTCTATCACATAGGCTGGAGTGTAGTGGTGTGATCATGGGCCACACCAGCCTCAGCTCACCCCTACTTCAGCCTCCTGAGTAGCTGGGACCACAGGCATACCCCACTATGCCCAGCTAATTTTTTTTAATTTTATTTTTTGTAGATCTAGGGTTTCACCATGTTGCCCAGCCTGGTCTCAAACTTCTGAGTTCAAGGAATCCACCTGCCTTGGCCACCCAAAGTGCTGGGATTACAGGTGTGAGCCACTGCACCTGGCCTGTGTGAAGACTTTTCTACTAATATTCATAGCTATCACAAGCTCATAACTCTCTTTTGTCTTCTGGTGTACAAGAAAGCCTGTTCTAAGAAATATTTTAAAAGAGAGAGAGAGAGAGAGAGAGAGAGAGAGAGAGAGAGCATAGGTTTATATCCTTATTTGGCCCAGAGTGCATATCTATTTAGATTCTTTCCTATGAACTAGAGGAAAAAGATATTAGAACTTTGTATTTGTAGCTAATGTGACCGCTTTGATTCTCTTGGTCCCGTAAGTGTTTCTTATAGCTCAGATGCTGACATTTTGACAACTCATCCCATTGCTTCCATTTAGGGAAATATGTTCTTTACTGGCTAAAGAGGATCCCCCTTATTAAACTGACTTTATCAGACATCTTTCTCTGAAGAGTAATCCAATTAGCTGAAGAGAGAAAGTGTGAGCAAGCACACAGTAATTCCATCTGCCCTAGTGGCTGTGATGGGCTACCCACTGCCAACATTTCCTTCAGTGTCAGCACTTGACCTAGAGTGGTATGTGCCTCTGAAGCTAGGATGGCATTACTGGAGTGCTCTGCAGAGCCAGGGGGCCTCAGACAGCTTAATTTGTATAATAACCTCAGATCTGCCAAATACTCCAACCTGACACACAGACACTGGGCTATGTTTAATAGCTAGGGGACAATCTTTCTCATAGAATATGCCTTGCCTTAGCTGCCCTAGCTTAGTGAATAGAAAAACTGTACAACATAATCTAGATCAGGGATTGGCAAACTACAACCAGCAGGCAAGTCTGGTCCACTGGCTATTTTTGTACATAAAATTTTACTGGAACACAGCCATACTCACTTGTTAATGTATTGCTGATGGCTGTCTTCACTCTACAGTAACAAAACTGAGTGGCTGCAACAGAGACCATGTGGCCTGCAAAGCCTAAAATATTTACCTTCTACCCTTTACAGAACAAGTTTGCTGACCCAGGTCTAGATTACTCCTCGTGGTTTTACACCCCAATTCAAATTCTCAGGCATTGTTTATGGATGGCTAAGCACATACAGCAGGTGTTGAGCTGTCCTCTGTGTCTTAAAACGTGGACTACTTTTTCAGTACTTGTGCTGCCTTTAGATGATTCTTTCAATAAACTGGAATTGTGCAATGTAAAATTCTGATATAATTTGAGAACTGCTTTTTTTTTTATGTGTGACTTGAGGATTAAGGGATACAAGAGGCACTGTTGTTTGTCCTTTCTACATTTGTATTGACAGAAACAATTTTGTTCAGATACCCATTGAAAAACTATGTTCACAAGCTTCCCTGTCAGCTAGAGGTAGCCATGTAACACCGTTTTGGTCCAAAACCTAGACAGGGATTCCAAACAATTCTTGAAAAAGAGTCAGACTCTGTGACCTCCTCTTATCCTTCCCTTCTTCCGTCTTGGAATGAGGAAGTGGTTCTGGAAGTGGAACAGTCATCTGATAATCACAAGGTGACAAGCATGAGGTCAAAAGTTACAAGTAAGAATGGCTGAGCTGAAGGAAGGCAGCTTGAATTCGGATGATACCTTAAGTTTTCCATATTAACCCTGGACCACCTACTTCCAAATATTTGTTACACTATAAAAGTCAAACTATTTAGTTAAGCCACTCTAAATTGCTTTTTGTTTTTGTTCTATACAGCTATCCTGAGCTGATACGAGGAACAAGAAAGATAGAAAATTAACACTGTTTAATCCCAAGTAATGAGGTTTTGGAGGAGTTTTAATACAATCTAATATCTAAGATGTCTCCCAGCCCTTAAAATCTATGATTTCTCAACCAGAATATAACAAATCAGAATCCTCAAATTATCTGGCAAACAACAAAGCTGATGAAATCTTCAGACCACCTGCTCCAGGTGCCTCACTTTACTAGTATGAAACTGTGTCTTAAGGCTATTAAGTAACTGCCCAAGAGCACATAGCAAGAAGGTAATGGAGGCAAAATTCAAATGTAGGCTATTATCCATTAATGTATTAAAACAATAAAGCAAACTTTACAAGTCAATCCAATCATCTGTAAATTATTATTTCAATCTCCTTATATATTCTCAATATAAGTATGACTCAGAGTACACAGTGATCACTTTGATTCCCTATAAGATCTTATTTAGCAAATATTTCATTGTTTATGTTGCTATGCTTAATGAAGCAGGAAATAAACCAAACTATTAAAGAAAAATTTTAAGCACCAAACATTCAAACTCAAAGGCTATTCAGATTAACCCTCTTCTGTTTTTCAGAAAATCTAATTAGGCAGACCATCTCCATACCACAGTATCTTGGCCACTTAAATCTTACTGCACCAAAGATTGTATTGTCATTTTTTGGTACAGTAGCTTAAGAGTTTGGGCCACAAAAATTGAAAACCAGTTTGAAGAATGTGACTCAAGAGAATGAAAGTACTCCTATACTCTAAGAACGAACACAATTTTCTAAGATTTTATATACATGAGACTTGTGGGCAAAGAGCCTTCATGATTTCTTGCGTGTGGCTCATGGCCGTGGTTGCTTGTGCCTCTACTAATTTGGCAGGGTCAAAATGATGCACTGTACGCATCTTCATCATCACTGTCATTACAAATGTCATCAGTGACTTATAAGGCCACATAGTTCAGCCTCTGCCTTCAGGATAAATATCACCTAAGCCCTCATGCCTGAGAAAGCCAAGTGAGAAGACAATGGTAGCTCTATTCTCTTGTGTCCTAACCTTTCTTGTTTCTGTTAGCATCAACATTTTCTCTTTGCCTCAAATTAAAAGCACTTATTAATCATCTAATAAATGAAATTATAACATATCTATAGTAAAGGAGAAAGGGCAACAATACCAAGGGCCAAGTGCTTGGAATATGAGCTCCAAGATGGGCACAATTTTGTCTTGTATCCTCCAAGAACCAAGCATATTTAAAACATGCCTGGTATATTTTAGGGACTCAATAATACTCACAGACTGAATGAATTACCTGAGAATGATCTATTAGCAGAATAAGTCCTTTCACCACACTGATAGGGTCGCCAGATGCTGACAGCATTTTGGACATCAAATCACTGTATCCATTGAAAAAGGTGACAGGTCTGAGCTGAACATCAAAGAGGATGGCTGACATGCCAGCATAGGAGTCAAGGTTCTCCTCCCCCTCGTCAGGGGTGGCTGCGATTAAGGCTTCCAGTCCTTGGGCTTCAATAACTACCTGCAGAAAATCAATATAATGTTCATGATGCAAGCTCCCTGCCTGCTCTGTAAATAATGGTGAAGCTTCTGAGCTGCAGCTAGAACTTCTCAAGGGGCCAAAAACTTAAATATTTGCAACAGCTAAAAACAGAAAATAAAACAGACAAAAACCTCTATGCCTGAATATAAGGTGGGTTAGTTTTTTATTTAATCCTCACAACCACTCCTTGAGGTACATATGATATTACCCATTTTGTAGATGAGGCAAAAAAAAAAAAAAATCTCAAGTTTACTCAGCTAATATATGTCAGAGGCAGGACCCATACCCCTTCTGTCTGACTATGAAGACCATGAGCTTTCCATTTTATGATGTCATCCTAGAAACTCTTAGTCTTTCCAGGACTGTCATATACCATTCATCAGCTATCTTGCAGAGCATCTAAAAGGAAATGGAAAGGTGTTGGCAGAGTCATTCTAAGGCTGCTGCTATGTGAGGACATGGTATTCTCTAAACCATGACTCACCCCATTCCATGTCAAACTTTTCTCCCTAGCCAAAAAAAAAAAAAAAAAAAAAGTCGATAAACACCATGAGGGGACTAACACCCTTATTTCCACCAAAAATAGGAATCCTACATATTTTCTGTCCTCCATACCCAGCCCTTTAACTCCTGAGTGTTTTGCATTTCAAAGTACATATCAGAAAACAGATGGTGATTCCTCAGGACAGAAGGGCATAGTATTCTGACTACAGTACTACCAAAAGGTATAGTAATATAAGATTGATAAAAACTCAAGTTTTTATAGCATTGGATTATTTAAAAAACTTAAATGGCTGTATTTATGAGGTTATAATTTGATGTACATAAAAACTAAAAAGAAAGTACATGTCATTATTAGGAAGTCTTTACAGACCATCACCTCAATTTGGTTAACACTAAAGGGATGGAAGTCAGCCAACTGTTGAATGCCTACATTTTATTCTTTTCTCTCCTAGCAGTGTTGGAGAAATATAGATTGACCCTTTAGAGCGTCATATTCTATTATGAAAGGTTTTATTATGGGGAATCAATCTCTTCATAGAAACACCCAGAAAAGGAAAATATATTCTAGAATTAAATACTTGGGGGTGAGAGTGGGCTAAGAAATATATCTGTGAATAAAAATAAAATATTATTTTTAAATGTTTATGTGAGAAATATTGGTACAATTTCAGTTTTTTGAATATGTGCACCTTTGAAAAGACAAATGGACATTTGGCAAGTTCAATGGATCAAATTACTTAGGTTTCAAGTTCATAATGAAACGTTCTCTGAGTGACTATAAACCATACAGCCTCTTACAGATAAGGGAATCTTGGGCAAAATAAGACAGAGGCCACCATTAACTTATACATTCTACAGCATTACCCACAGTATATATGTTTTATTTTTACCTCAGCCTGATTTCTTGCATACTTTATTAAGCAAAATCCATGAGAAGTGAGTTACCTGGCTACCATGAAGACCAGCCTTCCCAATGTACTGAAAGATGTTCAGGTTACTTCTCCTTAGAATGCCAGAACCCGAGTAAAGAATGTCTAGGCTGTAAGTAGACGCCGAATGGGGACTACCTGATGACACACAATAACTGTAATTTAATAGCAGTTCCAGCAATGCTAAGTTGTGGGGTACAGAAGGAGAACCTCTTTTTGGTGTACATACGTTCTATGTAGCCAGTGTAGGCCGAAGAAGATCCACTCCTGGAGAAACGGTCATAATTGTGAGCAACCATTTCCTTCAGAACTCGACGGACAATTTTGCTGCAACATATGAGGGGGGAAAAAAGCTGCACATTCATTGTAATGACTGTTTCCCAAGTCAAATTTGGAAAAAAGAAATCCTCAGTGGAAAAAAGAGGAAGCCAAATTTTCCTCATGCCTTTCCAAGAGCCGGGGCGGTGCCAGCTGGCGTGGTAGCATCAGGATTAGGGCTAGCCCCTTCATTACTCAGATATTTGAAATTTAGTTTGGTATCAAAATGACAGCAAGGCAAGGGTGTCCAGCTTTGAGGTGGCTTAAGTTGACTAGTAGACACATTTCAGGCATGGCAAAATTCGTCATGGCTTTATTGTTAAATAGTGCGTACACTTAAAGGAAAATTGTGCCAAACTGGAGAGGTTGCACAATATTTCTTTAAATGTTTTTCTTCATTCTCTAATAGTCTCTTTCACTAATGACATATAACAGTACATTTCCAGTATTTCTTCTATATCTGTGAAGTTTCCAATTACAGAAACAGCTCAGTAATACCCATATAGAAACGACTGTCTCCTCTGGAGCAAGTCTTAATCCTTACCCCATGCCTCCATCTTGTTGTCTAAGTAATTGGTGTTAAGATGTTCATTTCTGATTACATAACATTAATCATATCAGTAATAGCAACATTACGACAACACAGCAAAACATCAAAATAATCAACTATAGAAATCTGGTCCTAGGTCTGAGGTAGAAAATAATTGAGGGGAAGCGATGGCATCCTGAGAAGTTTCCCCTCCAATATCACTAGGTTATAAGATTTTAGCCTAGAGAAGCAAAGATGAGGAGGGTCATGACAGCTGTTCTCAGATATTCAAAGGGTCTTCTTGTGGATGAATGACTAGATGTATTTTGCTTTGCTCCCGGGATAAAACCAGAGCCAATAGGAAGATTTCACCTTATACAAAGACATAATGTTGAGTCTCTGACCAACACTGGCACAAGTTCCCTCAAAGATGGTGAGCTTCCTGTCACCGGGAGAGGGAAGCAAAGTCTGAATACCACCTGCTGGGAGACTACAGCCCTACAGAGGAGAGATGCCAAGCAAGGGAGCCTTTAGTGTTCCTCCCCACTCTAATGTTTTTGGTTCTGAGACTCTGACCCATAATGTTGGTGATACTTTCCTCACAATTTCTAGTCTGTTCTCTACCCCACTGTCTCCTCTTTCCAGGTCCCTGAAATGCTAGGGCCACAAGACAAAGGCAGCAAGTACACCCAGGATCTCCTCCACAGGGTCGCATAAAAGCAAACAAAGAAATGGAGGGAGAAGCTAAATGCATTCTACTAGAAATACATGGCTGCAGAGAGGCTTGGCTTCTTTTCTCACCTGCTCTCTTCCTCTTTCCTGAACATCCTGCTTTTATCTCTGCTCTACTCACATCCATTTCTTATGTCTTCCTTCAGTCTTAGTCCTTGTTTCTCTTTCTTTCAAACTCTTAATGCCATCTTTTTTCATTTTTTTTCTCTTTATTTTCCACCCTTCCAATCTCTGTGGTGAATGCTTAAATCTGATCTTTCCTGGGGGTAGTGTTCTGCATGTAACTCAGAAAAAATGAAACTTCCTTCTCTGACCCTCTAATTCCAGGGAGGAGGCACCTTGGCGGAGCCACTTTGCATTTGGGAGGAGTGACTTGGGAACTGGAAGGAAATTAATTCAGCAAGAGTTATAGAGTGATGAACTCTACTGAATGCACTCTTTAAATTTTGAATCATCTTAAAATGTAGGCAGTGCCTAAGATTTTAAACTTAAATGGGAAATTTATTTGATCTGTGATAAATGAGGTTTCAAAAATTCCTAACACTCGAAATGTTACAATAAAAAACCATTTGGTAAGAATTTACATTGTTTTGTTGTACGTATTTTAAAAATCCTGTTGAAAATGCAGTTAGCTTTTAAAACATTTGGCAATATACACTTTCCAGACTGAACAAGACAACCCTAGTAAAAATTATACCCAGAGTTCCCACTCATGGACTCATAGTGCCAAACTGAAGTTGTTTCATCTGGTCCCCTAAATAGCCCTATTATGGGAAATCTGGCA